ATCTTGTGCAAAGACTTTTTCAGGCTATACAGCTAACATCGGCCGTTGCAGTCATTAAAACCAAAGGACACAGTACAGCTGACACAGACGAAGCAGCAGGTAATGCCCTAGCAGACGTGACTGCCAAAGCTGCAGCTGCGTCACAGCTCCCACCTCCACAGGAAGTATTATCTGTGCCCCTACAGCTGCCACTTGTTACACTCCCAGACTATTTAGAAACAAATGTTGATTTAAAATTTATACAAGAGCAGGCCTCTGCATCTGATTACACCTATTGGGAGGATAATGACTGTACCTTAGATGACAGAGATGGCCTATACAAAAATTTTGAGTGTTTGATTGCCCTCCCATCTTCCCTGCTGCCAGTCCTTGTCCAACATTTTCATGGTGTGAGTCATGTTGGACAGGGAGGGGTAATAGGGGCAATAAAATCAAGATTTGTAATTGAGAAAACATTACATGCAGTAAAAAGCATATTAGCAACCTGTCTAACATGTGCACGAACTAATGTAGGGAGACCAAAAGCAAAACATCAGCATTTATCACAACCAGATTTTCCATTTCATACATTATGACTCCATCCACAGCAACCAAATTATCTCCATTTGAAATAATCATGGGAAGACCATTTCCAACACCATGGTCAGCCTCCAGAGGGGCACCGCTATTGGAAGGGAACATAGACACTGCATTGTCCGACTATGTTCACAATCTGGTAGAAACACTGAATAATAACTATCAGAAAGTTTGTCTCTCTCAGCCTCTCCCCTCCACAGTTCCAACTCACCAGTGGAGACCAGGAGACGCGGTTTTTGGTGAAGTCGCTAAAACCCAAGGACACTCGGGGAGGCCGCGTTTTCCAGCCCCCAGACTGTGCTTGCAGTGACGAGAACCAGCATCCTCACAGACGGACAACCTCAGTTGATTCATGCCAGCAGGGTTAAAACCAGCCCAACCAGACCACCTCAGGTGTCGGATCAAGTAGACGACGACTCAGGCGAGCCAGCGCCGGGAACCAGAACAAATAAACACACGTAGATGACGACTCAGGCGAGCCAGCGCCCGGATCCAATACACCTACACACACGCAATCACTGATTAACACACAACGCCTGAAAGAGCCAAGACTCAGAGAGCTCTTTGATGCTTCACCTGAACAACAACAAGGTACTCGAACATCCAGTAGGAACAGAAAGCCGAGAGTACCACATGATGTCTAACTTGATAAAGATGGACTCATTCCATCCTGATCATGGAGAAAATGAAATGCCCATTGTCATCATACGACGTTTATTCTATGTCTCTCGAACCTCGGACCAGGCCAGGAGACAACTGAAGAACTGTTTTTCTTATATATTTAGGTTATTTATCATATCTATCGCATTAACCTTGGGATTTTTCTTTGCCATTTTGTATTGTAGACTGCAGCCATGTACACATTTCTGCAGGTCATATTTTGCTGACAATACCTCATGCTCTATTTTGCGAGACACCTATTTAATACGCTCCTCACAATCAGTAAATGGCAACATAGACGCCACTAATAAACCATTTTATGCGCCCCCTAGAGCAGGAGTTAACTCCTGGTATGAAAATGCTAGAACAGCTGCTCGTGATTTAGGAAACCGTAACTGTTATGTCTGTTCAGAGGGTAATCCAGAACAGGTTATAGTAGGATACCCCATATCCGGTTTCCCCCTCACTGAGGGACTAGAGAAAATCGGCGGAAATAATGCTCTCCTTAAAGACACTTTACAGTTGACTCTGAGCCCTCTCGACTGCCTACTTAGACACACACACCCACCAACCAACTAACCCTGAGACTCAATTAGGCGAATTATTGAAGTTATCTAATGACACCGCAGGGACCTGTGCCCCAATGAAACGCCCTAAGAATAGGTTAAAGCCCTCACTACCCCTAGGACAGATCCCTTTCCATTTTAATACTAGTATATATGTCTGCGCAGACTAAAGTTAACTGGCCCAGACACCCACATAGATTATACAAAGGATAACTATACATTCTTCTCTGACTCCCCAGGTGCACGCTGTAATGAGACATGGCTAGCTGTCTCTGTGGCTGAAGTTTTATCATATCTGGAGGAACACACACACAGTTCAAGTTCGAGCGGAGAATCGATCATTGTTTCCTCAGAGGGTGTATTAAATGATACTGACTGGGGGGAGTTAGTTAAATCACACATGGTCACGCGCCTAACTAGAGCAATCCTTAACGGTTATTGGTTGTGCAATAATACTCTCAGATTAGCCTTACCTGTTAATTGGACCGGTACCTGTGGTCTAGTAATTTTAGCCCAAGAACTACTAATACAACAAACCTCTGATCTGCCTGTATCCAGCAGACGTACAAAACGCTCCGCTTACTCACATAACGTTTACATAGATGCTATAGGAGTTCCACGCGGGATACCAAAGGAATTAAAGGCACAAGGAGAAATATCAGCAGGGTTTGCCTCAATACTACCGTGGATACAGGTAAACAAAAATGTAGCCTGGATCAATTATGTTTATTACCATCAGCAGAGACATACCAATCTGACCAATACGGCCCTTAAAGCCCTAGGAGAACAGATGTCTGCTACCTCTTTAATGACCATGCAAAATAGAATGGCCTTAGACATGCTGTTAGCTGAGAAGGGAGGTGTTTGCGCGATGTTTAGAGATGTATGCTGTACTTTCATTCCCAATAATACCGCCCCTAACGGTTCATTCACACAAGCTATGAATAGACTTGAAGCATTGCAGATAGAACTAAGAGCCAATGCAGGTCACGGTCAGTGGCTAGACAAGTGGCTACAGGACACGTTTGGAAAATGGAAGGAACTAATTGTAGCCTTTGTAACCATTGCAGCAGGTATTATTTTGTTTTTGATGATTGTCTGTTGTGTGATACCATGTATACGCTCTCAGAATTTTTGATATTAAGCTTGCTCGAAGGACCAGTTACATTTATGATTTATTTTACGTTTATGATTTGTCTTTAGATTATGTTATTACATTCTGTCTTTATACCATGTTATCATTTTATGATAAAAGGAGAGAACTGTTGTGATATTTTGATACCATGGTAGCATTTACAGGATATTGTTTTATAGTGATATTATACAGGAAAACTGTTACTCAATAAGGCCCATTTACTAGTTTTTTCTCTTTCTCTGTGACCCAAGAATTAATGTGTAAGAATCACAGGCTGGTACCTCAAGGTCGAAAATACCACAGAGATCACTTCCTTACTCCCATCCTCCCTTCTTTATCTCTTAGAAAAGGGTTTGTTAAAGGCCAGGTGGTTTGTTTCAGAATTCACTAATGAAAGAACTCTGTATTCTATGTCTAGGAGTGTATTTCGCTGGGATAATCATAAATTGTAGCTGAACTGATAAACTATACAAAGGATACTTCTTTGCTCAGAGGGCAGGAAGACGCTTCCTTATTTGGTTTGTACCGGTTTGAACTGAGAATCTGCTGACACACGAACCTTTTTCCTCTATATAAACTGTTGTATGATGAATAAACCTTTGAGTTGGTTTGGGAAGGCAACCTGAAGCAGTCTGTGTTTCCTTGTTCTGCCAAGCTACTCCCGACGTCGTAACTAACCTGCTGAATGGCATACCTGAGTGTTACTTTGAATAATTTTGAATCTTATAGGGTAAAGACAAAACTCTGCTTATAGGTGCCCACGCCTCGGAGGAAAACCCGATCCACGGATGACCCGGGATGGAGATTTCTTTCACTGTTCTTATTGTAACTATCACCACATGATTAATAAAGTATTCTGTTCAAATGCAGGTTAAACAAAGCTAGCCTTAGAGAACAGCAGTGATCCATGATGTGCAATTTAATTAGAGCTCTCCCACTGACTGCCTACCAAGAAACTTACTAATCTCAACCCTAGTCTTCATGCAGTTACTTGCAGTGGGTATTTATGCACTGAAAACCACAAGAGTGAGACAGGCAACTGTATAAACAGCAACCCCCTCGAGTCTAGGGATGTGCCCCCGAGACAACTGCTCTGACCACTTTCACTGCAACACTACCAAGAGTTTATGAATGAATCCCAAAGGAGAAACATTCCTTCATCCTACCAGGGAACGCTCCAATTCCTGCCTGTGCACACCAGACAATCAATGCCATCACTGTGGTATTAAAATCACCAAGTCTTAAGTTAAGGGAAGAGGCAGAGATTAGGTAGGGTTGCTTTTTTTGCCTTCTAAGATCAGCATTGTTTTTAGGAAATATAGAAGGACAGTGAGCAACATAGAAGTTGCTTTGAATCACGTTAACATCTCAAAGAATAAAAATCCCTCTCAATTTCTTATTAATTGCCCCTTATAATTTTAACAGCAGTGTTAGTTGAAACAGCACCAATATTTGCCACTTAGCAAGCTCAGAGGGTAAATGAACGTTTACCCTCAATTTTAATAGTCCAGAAATGTTTTAGAAAGATTTCCAAACGTCACTCCAAACAAATATATTGCAGAAGGATTCGTAAGGCTTCTCAACACACTGATGTTAAGTGAAAGCAAGAAATAGACATTTTAAGATTAGCTAACAGATTAGCTAACACTTAACTTCAAATTAAAGGGAGAAACTCTTCTTTCTAAATGCCTTTGTATGGACTCTGTTTGCATTTGTACTTTGGGAAATCATTAAAAAAGCTAGTTGGTGAAGCTAAGATACTGTTAAGCTACTATTACAATAGATGTTTAAGTCCTTATTTTTTTCTAGAAATAACATACACAGAGACGGATAACTATGTCATTAAAACTACTTAACTCTTCCTGGGTTCAGTGTTTCCCCTAAGGGTTAGAGCTTCAATGGACTCCCAAAACAGTGGAATCAGGATGCAACTAGAACACTTCTCCCAAAATTAAAAGTAAAATAGGCTGCAGCTTGCTTGGCTGAGGCACACGCTACACTCACCCGCTTCCTCACTCCAGAACAATGCATACCTGTTCACTGAGCTCCTTTAAATACTTTCAGGCTCTCCCTCCCACAGGTGCAGTCACTTACCGTTCTACAATGCAGAATCTACATCATCGCCAACGCCCAATGAGCGATAACGCTGAGTTGCTTAGCAACAGAACCCATACAAAAAAAGCGGAAGCGGACGTGGACGCGCTACTTGTATCTGCGTTTACCTGGCAAGTCAAGCTTTTCGGATCGCTTGCTGACAGTAGTTTTCCAGTTCAGTGTTTTCTTGTTACAGCTGTCCGTGTGATGGCTAAAATCGTGATGTGTGAGACGCTTGAGCTCTACAATATCCTCAATCAGTGCCGACGTGTGCCCAGACTCGCAGAGATCAACTACCTGTGTTTGATTGGTAAGAGAAAATCGGCCAGTACCAACATTTGTCTGGTTAGATAAGTCCTATGCTTAATTACTCTGTGTTGTCTATGGGTATGAGTGCTATAGCACATGCTTTTTGTTTCTTTAAGAGACTCATTCTCACAAGGTTTTGTTCACAAAGTCTCACCTGTGCAAAAGATATACCCAATTTTGTGCTGGATGATTTTATACTTTTATCAAAACCTTGCCCATTAGCGCAAAAAACAAAACAAACCCGCAGGCTTGATTTAGAGTAAAACGTAAAAAGTGTTCAAACATAAACATGACACTTAATGGATTTACTTGTAACTTTATGCAATATTATATTTTGCAATATAATTTATTTTCTTATTTCACCTGCTCCCTTTAGCAGGGGTGCCTCCAGTCTTTTTTATAGTGGTGGCCGTATGGGGGCCAACAAAAATATTGGGGTGGCACATTAAAAAACTGAATTTCCAGTTTTATTATGCTGTTGTCAAATATAGGCAAAATTACATATATCTAAAAAAAAAAAATATGAAAACCAAATAAGCTTGTGAGATTGATAATAATCTGTTTTAATTGATTAATTGATTGATAAACTTGATTCCGTTAGTTGTAACTTTGTTGAGTGTTGTATGTCTCTGTTCCAGATGCTAATGAAGTCGAAGATTACTACAGGAGTCACATCATAACTGCTAAAAATGCTAAAATGGTATGGCTATCATTGGGTCCACAGTTGACATGTGTCTGTGTGTGTGCGCAAAAACCCAGGGCTCAAACTACAAATTTCTCCTGTACATTTAGTCAGGCTTTAATCTTTCCTCTAAACTTTTTGCACACGACTGTACCAAAACTTTCAAATTGACTTTTTCCAGGACTCAGAGGGGACATTCCTTCTTCCAGAGTTTGTGGAGGTTGAAAGTATGCAGCATGTGGTGGTCTACGACAACAACACAAGCTCTTTACAGGAGCAAGGTTAGAGTGGTAAATGAGAGATTTCTTCAGAGCAAGTCCACTTTTATGCATTTTATTTGCATTGTTGTGCCAAAAGAAAACAACTGGTTTCCTGCAAACAAACAAAAATAAATAAATAAAATCTGTATTTCAGCCTTAAAAGCAATGCTTATTGTGGCTCTCTCCCTGTGATTACAGGCAGAGCAACTTCATGTGCCCAAGTGTTCGCTAAGGCTAGCCTCAATCCAGTCAAGATATTGAGAGGAGGCTTTCAGAGATTCTCAGCTCAATACCCTTTTTTGAGGACTGAGAAAATCCTGAACACCATCATGGTAGAACTCTCCTAAAACACAAACATTCCTGCCATCATTTTTTTTCATCAATTTAAGATTATGGGGGGGCCTGTCTTATCTGGAGCCAGGTATACAAATCTTCCATCAGCATTCAATTAATTGCCAAATTACATATGTTGCAATATAAGGTAACATAAGGCCAGTGTTTAGCGGCTACAGGGCAGTTTCTTACTCATATGTGTTCCCACATATCCAGCTAAAGTGAACTGATTCCAGTTTCTGCCTAAAAAATATAAAATGTGTCAGGTAATTATTGCACTGCCACCTTGCATGCAATAAGTTTCCTGTTTGCCACCTACTGGTTAACCTAGATGTTTACCCTTTTCCCAAAGTACTCCAGTTTCCTGTCATGGTCCAAAGACATGCATGTTATGTTAACCGGTGATTATAAATTGGCCTTCTGTGTGGATGGTACCATTGAGTATTTCTGTCACTCTGTTAGCCCCATAACAGCTGAGATAGGCTCCAGTCTAAGCAGTTTGGAGAATTGTTGTAATTGATTGTATATATCTGTGGGCTACCTCAGGAGCTGGAAAGCCTTAAGATTTACCCAGTGGAGATCTTAGCAGGACTGCTGTACATGGGTGATGAGAAGCAATCCTTGGACTCCACTCTTCTCAAAGACCTGAAAATCGGCGCTATCGTCAGCATCTCAGAGAGTAACACACTCGAGTAAGGCTGGGCTGGATATTGAGTATTAGAGAGAATAATTAACATATTGCTTTATAGATCTTATTTTTTGTTGTTTTTTACTCTTTTAAATTCCTTCAAATCAAGGTTCATGAAGGAGATCCATGCCTTGCTTATCACCCCTGTGGCTGACTCAGTGCGGTCTGATTTATATTCAAGCTTTGAAAGGATCTGCAATTTTGTTAGTAAGTTGTTCCTTTGCTTTCATTAACAAGACGTTTAAAAATCTGAATTTTATAATTTAATTCACAGAAGTCAGAAACTAGTGAATTATAGGTGTCTGAATTTCTTCAGTTGGGCAAACTCTAGAAGGAGAACAGAAATAATTATATAAATGCAGTTGGCTGTCTTAGTTCAGGTAAAAATTTCAAGATCTCAAACTAAAAAAACTGATTGCATATTACTCAAATTCTGAATTATTTTGTTATTAATATGTAAAAATACAACAGCTTCAAGACTGTCCATCTGAAAGAAATGCATCATGTATCATGAATCCAGAAGTCATAGCGTTAACTTAAAATCACAGAGTGTAACGTTAACTTACTGAATGTATTTTAAAAAGAAAATTATTATTTGAGGCAATGTGTATTATGCAATGCAATCCATCCACCACAAATTGTAATGAGTGATTTCAGATTTTTCTAATTTCTGTTTTTTTGTTGCTATAAATGTAGTAAGTGTTGCACAGAACAGGTGTTGCAGAGGGCTTTCTTGTTATCTCCTGCTTTCAGGTTCCCACATCAACATGGGCTCTCGTGTCCTGATAGTTTCCAAGCAAGGCAGAAGCCGCGCCAGCGCAGTGGCCATTGCATTTCTCATCCATTACCTCAAATACACACTAAAGGCAAGTTTGTTTCGTTCAGTTTAGTGGCAGTATGTGCACAAAGTGTGGCTCTTGTGTCCTCAAATGGCAAGAAAAACAATATATTTTCCAAAATGGCACCAAGAAAGAACTGATCCTAGTTATAGAAAGTACAGTAAATATAGTGCATAATGATGTTGGTTTAACTTTTTCAGGAGGCCTGGACGCATATGCTCAAATGTAAACCCATCATGAGGCCAAACACAGGTTTTCTGCAGCAGTTGTCCAACTGGGAGCTTCACACTTTGGGAACAACAACGACTGATTTTGTCTCAATCACATTTTTAACAAAAGAATTTTTTTTAGTCATCTGAACTCTGGATTCTGTATATGTGGCCCATGTAACATTTAAAATATTTGATATACCTACATTGACTGCATGCAAGTCTCTAACTTCACAGAACCTTGGTTTTTAATCCATCCATGCTTTTCCGCTTATCTGCGGAGAGGTCGTGGGTGCAGCAGACTAAGCAGAGAGGCCCAGACCTCCCTCTCCCTGGCCAGCTTGTCTAGGGAAACACAAAAGTGTTCCTAGGGCAACCAAGAGGTATAATTTCTCCCGCATGTCATGGGTCTGCCCCAGGGCCGCCTCCTGGTGGGACATGCCCAGAACACCTCACCCAGGAGGCGCTCAGAAGGAATCCTTGTCAGATGCCCAAACCACCTCAACTGCAATGCACAGGCAGCAAGCGGAGGGGGATACTAAGATACCTATCCCAGTCCACCACCTCTCATCAAAGCAAACTTCAGACTGGAACAGAGTCAAGACCCTCTCCAGGAGACTGGTTCCAGAGCCCAAGCTGTGCGTTGAGGTCAGCCTGACTATATCTAACCAGTACCTCTCAACTTCACGCACTAGCTCAGCCTCCTTCACCACCAGAGAGGTGACGTTCCATATCCCAATTGCTCGGTAGCCCGGTGATTGTTCTGTCAGGGTCTCCGCCCCTGCACACACTGCACCCTACCCCATAGCGCCTCCTGTAGGTGGTGTCCCCTCTTTGGGCTGTACCACTACCACCACTACCATTACCACCGGGGCTGGCTCCAGGGCAGGGCCCCAGTAACCCTGTAACTCTATCCTGGGCAGGGTGAACTGTTCCCTAGATTTCACACTCACAGGGGTTTTTCAATCGCTCTTTGTCTGGTCACTCACCCAGGACCACTTTGCCATGGTAAACCCTACCAGGGGGCAAAAGCCCCCTGACAACATAGCCCCCGGGATCCCTTGGACACAAAAACCCCTCTACCAAAATAAGGCAGCAATTCACGGAGGGGACAAGGGAATTGTATTTTAATTAAGATACAGATTAGGTTCATTCAGTATTAGTTCATTTAATATTGGATTGAACTGTTTAAATAAATACACTGAGATTTATTGGAAATGTTGAAAGTATTGAAATGTCCAGTGACTTTAAGTGGAAATTTGATCCAAAGCAATGAAATCTCCAAACATTCCCTTTCATCACAAAATTTTGGGTGTAATTTAAAGGATCAATTTCAAGTAAAAATGGTTAATAAAACTGTATTTAAATAAACTTTTCTAAATAATGAATTTCTCCATTCATTATTCATTACTGCCTTAAATGCAAACAAATAACCTTTTCACCATTTTTATGGATTTTTAAGGTTAAAAAAGCAAGGATTTCAATTTCAGGTGTTGATATAGTTTTACAATACACAAGGATAAAAAAAAAATGAAGGTAACATCTTTTTTTATTTTTTGCTTTTTTTGTATTTTGCAGAATTTAAAGGACCTGGTTTGTATTGACAAAGGTTGTTGATTTAGGTTCTTAAATGGCCCTGCCAGAGGCGCTTACATTATTGACGGTAACACTTTCCCCTATTTGCACAGTTGCACAACGTCACCTCTAAAAATACAGGCCACAGGCCAAGTGGTGTGCAATTTATAACCCTAGATTTTACCTTTCTGGTGAGAGAATGCCTTCTCTGTAAAATCCCAACTGAGTAGTAACATATATCCTAATTATCTGTGTTTCTGTAGTTTCTAGCATGGCTAGGATTAGATGACAGTTTAGGGTAATGTGGCAAACCCGGCTTATTAGCTTGGTTAGTTTGGATGGATAAAAAGCTGTTGTATTGCCTGAAAGATATAACTCAGGGCACTATTTCCTGATGTGACAAAGCGGCTCTAAAGATACTAGAGCTGATTGGCTGATAAGGGGTAACCGAAATGCCAGCCTGACATCTGATTGGGGTAACTAGTTACAAGCCTATGATTAACCGGATGGGACATTTTAAAAAAAATAAAAGCATACATTTTTAATCCTTGAAATTAAATAGTACTGTTGTTAGTGTAAAGTGGTTTTGGAGTGAACACAGTAATATATTTGGACTTTATAGGATTACTGCTATCTATACTATTTGGGGGGAAAAAAGATATATATGAAATTATTCTGTAAGCCACCATTCGAATACATTATGTTCATAACAGAGCAGCAATGAAATAAGTAAATGAAATTACAAATGAAGTTAAATTAAATTAAAACAAATTCATGTTAAAATAATAGACTTACAAATAATGGTGGTTTAAGCCAAACACACACAAACACACAGACACACACACACTATAATTACTGTGTTTACATAATGTGTGTCCTTCTACCTTCTGTTTTTATTTATTTATTCATTATTTTTTATTTATTTATGGGGGGGGGGGGGGGGTTGTTTTTGGGTTTTTTTGGACCATCGGTGTCAGTAACAAAAACTCATTGAAAGTACCCCATAAATCACTTATTCATTGGAAACTAAAACATAAATTAATAAAATATTAAACCGCAATTAGTTACATCACATTTATAATTATGTTTAACTAATGCCAATTTACGTATTTTATTATCCATCCGTTTTGAACTGGGAACGTTAAAATACCTCAACACCTTTATTGTGAAGGTGCTTGCAGGAAGTAGCGCCAGTTTATCTGTTGAGCTTTAATTCTGTTGGGTGGTACAACTGTTGCTCACTCGAGTGTGATTATTGACCAACTCCGCGAGGTTTCCTGATGCCAGAGGGAAAAATGTTGTTCAGTCCAGGTGGTTTATCTGAGTGCTTACGCGAATGGGAGGATTTAGAGAAGGACTACCAACAGATTCAGGTATTTTAACTAAATGGTGTGTCCACCCCGGTTACCCCTGCCCGGGTAAGCTAACAGTCGGGGGTAGGTGGGGGAAACGCACAGGCTACACAATGAGGGGCTCGCCTTCAGCAGCTCAAGATAACTGTCTTGTGACAGCCAAGAGATGCACAAAATGTCATTGAAACTTAAGCTTAATTCCTGCGAGGACAACAGCCTCTTTTTTTTTTCCTCCACCGTGACAGCTGTCACACTGTTAAAGGAAGAACCTCGGGGCTATGGGTGTTGGTTTGTTGTTATCGTTGAGAGCTTAGATCCGTTACAGTGCACATATATTGATATAGGCCTGGTTGTCGTTTATAGGTGTGGTGTTAATATATAACTAAATGGCAGGCACTGAAATGCGTATGTCACTTGTCAAAGGAAGTGTTCAGGTTCTAAACCAGCATCAAGGTAAGAAAAACTACATTTAAAAACACAATTGTTGGAGCAATATACTGAATGTGAATTTTGGTGTAACTGGAAATTTTACATTTTAAAAAGGCGAGCATTTTAACTGCAAGACAATGATGCAAACACATAAAATAGATTTTATATATTCAGTCTGTCTTTGCTAAGATTAATACATTGAGACAGAGTTTTTTGAGTAGGTCTGTTTATGCTAGTAAATGTAGCACAATACACAAATATTTTTCTAGGTAACTTGTCTTACCATGTCAATTTACACATCATATTAGAGCAGCTGTGGTTTGGGTGGTACAGTGGGTTGTCTACTAACTGGAAGGTTGTTGGATCAATTCCTTTCAAAGTATCCTTGAGTGGGATACTGAATACCAGATTGCCCTTTATCAATATGTGTGTGTGAGTAGTAAAATGCAAAGTAGTAACTGCTGTCTGCAGTTGTAAATTCTGCGTAAAATTGCATCACTTTCCGTCATATACAAGAGGGCACAACCATTTCTCTGTCTCTTGTGCAATTCTGATTGCTCAGTTCTGGGAATTTGCCACAATATGAAGCCAAGGAGGTAAAAAATTATTCCTGTGCCCAACTTTTACAGAATCAGTTTACAGAAAAATTGGCAGTTAAAAGTGTCTCAAACTTGTACAAACCAACTGTGATAACCAGTCACATGTTTTCTGGAAAGCAACATACTTATGTCTGATTATACCTACCTCAAATATATAGTTAAATAATTAAGGTACAATAACTTATTTAAATGCTTTGGAAGCTAGACAGATTTTCTCATGTAATCATTTAAAATATCTATGGGTTAGGGTTAGAATCCAAGAATCCATTAACAATAAATCCATGATTATTACATGATAACCCATTTAGCAGCCTGTATTGCAACCATTAAAGAAAAACATGCAACAGCATCAGAGTCTTTGGTTAATTTTAATTGCCCCTTGGGGGATAAATAAAGTCTTTATGATTCTGATTCTATTTTGTTAAAGCTTTGGTTGGTTTTTATCTTTTTGTGCCCATCCTACCTTGCAGATTTCATCATAATTAAAACTTTTGCATTACACCATACATATTTATATTATCCTCTGGATTTTTTTTTTCTTTTTAACCCCAGGACACCCATCGTCTATATAAACAGAAACTTGAGGACGTGACCAAACTGCAAGACAGCTGCTCAAACGCTATCGCACGTCAGAGGAAGAAACTGAAAGAGCTCACTGTGTCCCTAGAAGAGTAAGTATTGATCAGAAATGAGACAAGATAACTTGAAATATGTGTGTGTGATGTTTTTGTAAAAGCATTTGTGTCATCAGCTCATTCAGGATACAGAAGCCCAAAAAATGAATTGGGTAGGAATTTATTCTGGCTTTTTAGTAGCTGGTTGTTTTCAGGGACTTTTTTCCACTTTCTCCAATATTACCAGACATGCTTTTTAAAGAGTAACTGCAGCTTTTTATGTTTAGTTTTGCAGTTCAGTATTAATTGGCATTTAAAGAAGCTTTGTTTCTTTTTAAAAACTTCAGCTGGGTGTTGGAAGACTTTGTGCTCTACAAAAAAACATGAACTTAGTATGACAGATATGGTCAGTGGGAGTATAAATGCAAAAAAATGTGAGGACTTTAAAAGTCAAGTAAGAGTTATATTTGAATGTACTTCACGTAATACTTTCTTCAGATACTAAGGGTTCATAATTCAGACTTTTTAAGTTCATGGATATATAAAGCTGGGATAGGTAGTCATTTTTGGCATCACTGAGCAAAAAATTGATAATCTTTCAGCATGTTATAATCATGTGTGCTAAGGAGGATATTAAACTCCTGCACCTCCACTGAGTTCTCAAAATCTAGCCTGCAATAGGAGGATCTGACCAATTGCAGGCATTTTCCGAAGGAGGGCATTATTATGGATTATAACTGCCACAACAGAATCACAACCTACCTCGTCCACAAACTGGATCTAAAATTAAAATTGACTCTGTGAACATCTTCCTACATGCATGAAACCTAACAATTGTCCTAACAAATCTTTTTTTCCATTAGATGCAAATCAAATTCTTCAACAGCCAAATTAAGTCCAGAGGAAGAGGATGCCATCGCAGAAATCGAGGACTCCATCAAAGACAGAGCACATACTTTCTTTGAGATGGAAGCATTTCTCCCCAAGAGGAATGGGTATGATTCTAAATGAGAATGATAAATAGCTACAATTTTCTTTGTCCAAATGGAAGTAAACAAGGAAAATGTTTAAAGTAGAGATGGCACGATACCACTTTTTTATCTCCAATGCCGATATCATAAATTTGGATATCTGCCGATACCGATATGAATCCGATATAGTGTGGTTTTTAATCAATAAAACAGTTTTTTTTAAATATCTTGCTGCATTTTGTATAAGTTCATACTCAAGTTTAAATAAACAACAACACTAAAGCCATTCTGTTATACCTGTATGCAAAAAATACACTGCACCCAAAATATTTCATAGTTCAGCAATACTGATCAATCTAATAAACTTAAACCTACTCCATCCTTCCTATTCTGGTATTTTAAAGAGTACTTAGCAGAAATATTAAGCAACCTAACTAATAGGGTTGCAAACTCCCAGCAAAAAAAATAGGGAACCACCCCCCACCCTCCACCTCATGATGCTTAATCGACGTAATCAACTTTAATTTGATGCAGTGTGAAAAAAAAATGCACAGAAATAAATTATTTTTCAAGAATAATTAAATAGATTCAACATCTTTCTTCAACAGAACTGCAGACTGCACAGATGGTACCTTCCCAAAGGAAAAAGTACTATAGCTTACTAGGGTATATTAGACTTAACAGTTACTATATACAGTAATGGACTTCTATACATTTTACATCAGATTAAAACTTTGGGTGTAAGATTCAGATAATTATTTATTAAAAGCTAGACATTTTAAATGAGAATAAGAAAGAAAAGTATG